ACCTTCACAAAAAGATTCTCTACGATTTCATAAGAAAAAATAACAATTTTTTTTTTTTTAAATTCTTGGACACTGGTGCGTGACTCCAGATTTGGGCCTTGGACCCTGAAAGGGTTAAAAACTGTAGTGTAAAGCACCCTTCTGGCAAGACAGTGATGGAGTGAATGATGGTGAAAGTTTTTCTTTTTCGGGCCACCCTGCCTTGGTGGGAATCTACCAGTGTGATAATAATAATAATAAATAACAGTCTCTCAACATTTTCTAATACTTGCGGTCGCTGTTTCGTAATCACAGTTGCACCTTTTGCAAGAACAGCTTCCTTGATTGCCGTTTTCCTGGTCACTATAGTAGAGATGGTTGATTGGGGTTTATTATACAACCTAACCAGCTCCGACACACGCACTCCACTTTCGTACTTTGCAATTATCTCTTTCTTCATTTCATAAGTCATTAGCGCCTTTTTTCTCGAAGGGTTGGAAACTAGAAGCTTTCTTGGGGCCCATGGTGACTTATTTTGCAGAAACAAGCACCAAACACAGTGATAGTATGGATAATAGGGAATGTACCGAATGTATCCTTAGATGCGCGCACACTGGCTGGCTTGTAAACACTGGCACACACGGGGCAGTTCAGGCCACACGTGGACACGTCTCGTACGAATCATATCGAATACCGGGTTGTCAATCGAATACCGAGGCAAATTTTTTGCGATATAATGCATCAAATACCGGATTTATCGAATACCGATGCCATCGAATACCGGGGGTCCACTGTATTGCATTTCAATTAATTTAAATGAGGAAAATTGACCAAGCATACGAACAAATCAGGATACGAACAGGTCCGCGGAACGGATTAAATTTGTAAGCCGAGGTTCCACTGTACATGGTTTCCATAGCAGCTCGAATACAGCCTCTCCTCACTTAGCGATGTACTCGTTTACTGATGACTCGGACCTACGATAGGCTCTCTGACCAGTATTTATACCTAAATAATGTATATTAGAGCTGATTTCCTCTTATTTTGTTTATTTCATATAAAAGTACACTACTGTATAAATATTTAAAAAATATACCAGAAATGTTATAAATGGTGCAGAGGTGACATTAAAACAATATCAAAGATGGTTGACACACTCATTACCATTATACGTAGTATGCTCCTCACTTAGCGACAAATTCATTTAATGACGTGGTCTCAGGAAATTTGGGAAATCCATCATTAAGTGAGGAGAGGCTGTATTTTTATAAAGAAACACTTTGATTGCATTCTATGTGGTCTGCAGATTTAAGAAATACCATGGTATTTATCAGGTAAAATCAGCCAGCAAGAAACCATCTGCAGATGTTTCAGATAAATATAATTTTTTTTTTATTAAAGCATCGGCCCTCTCCCACCAAGGTAGGGTGGCCCGAAAAGAGAAAACTTTCATCATATTCACTCCATCACTATCTTGCCAGAGGTGTGCTTACACTACAGTTATATAACTGTAACTTAACAACCCTCCTTCAGAGTGCAGGCACTGTACTTCCCATCTCCAGGACTCAAGTCCGGCCTGCAGTTTCCCTGAATCCCTTCATAAATCTTACCTTGCTTAAACTCCAACAGCATGTCAAGTCCTAAAAACCATGTGCCCTCCATTCACTCCTGTCTATCATGCTCACACCTGCTTACTGAAGTCCAAGCCCCTCCACACAATACTTTCCTTTACTCCCCCCCTCCAACCTTTCCTAGGCCGACCCCTCCCCCCGCCTTCCCTCCACTACAGATTTATACACCTTGAAGTCATTCTGTTTTTTTCCCATTCTCTCTACATGTCCAAACCACCTCAAAAACCCCCACCTCCTGAGCCAAATTACTCACAAGACAGGATTATTTTGCAGAGTTTGTAAGACATTCTCATATTTGTAGCAGTGAAAAAACAATGGCTAGTATGAGACTCAAAGGAAATATTAATGTATTTTAGCCTGTGCTGCTGCAGGCAGTGCAAATAACTTAAGTTCTTTGTGCTTATCAACAAGCATTTAAATGGCATAAAAATGCCCTAGTTTTTTAGAAAGCAAAGGTGGGTATGAATTATTACATGAAGCACAGTGGACCATCATAATTCACACAGGGGTTTCGTTCCTGAAAACTGCGCTTTCTAATGGTATCTGTGACTCATAGACAGAAAACCACATGAGAAAAAATCCTTGAATGTAAGGGATGTGTGTTGTCTGGATTCATCTAATAGAAAATTTTTTGTTGGGATGATTTGGTTTTAGATGATTTACTGTTGTTTATCCCCATGCAAAAAATACCATAAAGGGGATAAAGGGTAGATTTAAAAATTTGTGCACAGTAAGTGGTGTTGGTTGTGGTACATTCTAGTGTATTATGGAAAGAAAGCCCACTGTTTTTTTAAACTTTCTTGGGTAAAGTGCTGGATGTGTTTGTTAACCCCTTTCAGGTCCAGAAGCCAAATTTCAAAGTATGCACCAGGGTCCAAGAATTTTCAAAAATAATTTTGTTATTTTTTCTTACGAAATGGTAGAATTTTTTTTTCTGAAGGTAATAAAACAAAAAGTACAAAATTTGATGGAAAATTGATGAAATTATGCTCTCGTGAATTTGATGTGTCAGCGATATTTATGCACTCGGCGATTTTGCCAACTTTGACTCCCATTTTAGGCCCAATTACATTATTCCAGTCGACCAAATTCTTAGCTATTTCACTAGTATTACTTCTATTCTATCAATTGAGCACAAATCGCCAAGTCAACTGTTTCAGCTACAAAATAAAGTGATTAGAAATTGGTAATTTGGGGCCAATTAGTGCAAAGTTCAACAAACTTTCCAATTTCAAAATGGGTCCAGAAATAGACAGTGCAGGAATTCCTGGCACTAAACTAACATATCCTCTGTTAATTAGTTACGTTTGAGGCTTTACAAATGAATTCCATTTTTATTTTTTATTCACATAATGAATTTTTATTCAAACCAAAAAATAGAAGATTTACTGGTATGCAATATTGTAATAATTGTGTAAATAATATCACCACATTTGTGAACATATATTAGACCCACCAGCTGGTGTGTATTAGACGTGTGAGGTCATTTGTTTACTTGAACATTGGCAAAAATTTAACGTTTCCGCTACTTTGAGCTCAGTTTCAAGCCATTTCCATTATTAAAACCAATCAAAAATCATCTCTATTTCTGTAATATATCTTCCTTTCTATCAAATTAGACCAAGAAATCACAAATACAAGTAGAGTGGACCCTCGACCAACGATGGCATCGTCTAACGTTTAATCCGACTAGCGATGATACATTTTAATGCAAAAATTTTGCCTTGACTAGTGCTAAAAAACTCGACCAATGCGATTTGTTCCGTTCGAGATGCGTCCATTTGTGGCCTGAGCGTGCCAGTGTTTACAAGCCAGCCAGCCACTGCGGTCCCATCCAAACATACAATCGGAGCATTTCATATTATCACAGCGTTTTTAGTGATTGCACCTGCAAAATAAGTCACCATGGTCCCCAAGAAATCTTCTAGTGCCAACCCTACAGCAAAAAGGGTGAGAATTACTATGGATATGAAGAAAGAGATCATTGCTAAGTATGAAAGTGGAGTGCGTGTCTCCGAGCTGGCCAGGTTGTACACAAAACCCCAATCAACCATCGCTACTATTGTGGCCAAGGAAAAGGCAATCAAGGAAGCTGTTTTTGCCAGAGATGCAACTATGTTTTCGAAACTGAGACCGCAAGTGATAGAAGATGCTGAGAGACTGTTATTGGTGTGGATAAATGAAAAACAGATAGCAGGAGATAGCATCTCTCAAGTGATCATATGTGAAAAGGCTAGGAAGTTGCATGACGATTTAATTAGAAAAATGCCTGCAACTAGTGGTGATGTGAGTGAATTTAAGGCCAGCAAAGGTTGGTTTGAGAGATTTAAGAATCGTAGTGGCATACATAGTGTGATAACCTTTTTTGATGAAAATCGCCCTGACACAGCTACTGCAAGCCGTGTTGGCAACCTGTACACTGACAATGTTGTGAAACACTTTCGGAATGTCATAAAGGAACGGGAGGTACAGGCCTCAATGGACAGATATGTTGTGCGATAGAGGTCCAGTGGCTCTCAAGCTGGTCCTAGTGGCATTAAAAGAAGAAGGGAAGTAACCCTGGAAAAGGACTTGACACCTCAAGTCCTAATGGAAGGGGATTCCCCTTCTAAACACTTAACACCATCCACACACTCCCCTCCTCCCATCTCATCAATCATCACCCGATCTTCAATAAAGGCAAGTGTCATGTAATTGTACATGTCTTCTTGAGTTTGTGTGTATTAAAATTAATATTTCATGTGGTAAAAAATTTTTTTTTTCAATACTTTGGGGTGTCAGAAACAGATTAATTTGATTTCCATTATTCCTTATGGGGAAAATTAACTCGACTAACGATAATTTCGACTAACAGTGAGCTCTCAGGAATGAATTAATATCATTGGTCGAGGGTCCACTGTATAAAAATCATACGAAAAAACACTGCAAAGTTGCTGTTTTATTCGAAAATTACGGTCTGTTTTTTTTTATCTCGTTACACACTGTGCTGTAGGATTTGCTTTATGTGGTGCACACCTACCACATAGATATATTCTCTCATATCTAGGCCCAAATTTACCGCTCACAGCTTATCAGAGCGAGCTGAGCTCATAGCGTAGATCTACGGTTTGGACCCTCAATGTAAAGTCATAGATCTACGGCACAGACCCTGAAAGGGTTAAATTAGGTTTACTGTCAAAGTGAGCAGCAAAAAATTTCCCCTCATCTTATCTTTCAATGTGTGTATCTTTCTTTAGGTGAATATATTTTTAGCTTTATTCATTATTGAGTGTTAATTTATTTGTTGCCATGCAAGATGATGCCTATTTCAGCTTTTACTATGTTGATTTCAACTGGATCTAGATTGGAGATGAAGTTTGTATATTTATATTCTGGCATTTTTTTTTTCAGGTTGGTTATAAGAAATGGCATGTGTTCGAGCCTGGCCATCCACTTCATGATGATCCTGTAGCCAGCTAAAGTTTTGCAGTTTACATTTATGTACGTATATTAATCACTTAATTTGTTTAGAAGAATTTATAAAATGTACAAATACACACTCTTAATTTACTAATATTGATTATATTTATCACTGGTTTGATAGTGAATTATTTTCTAAAATATTTACAATTGCAAAATAATGGAAAATTAAAAAGAAATTATTTTCATGGGGAAGCACCTGGGAAATGGGAGGTAATCAAGTCTTATCCAAGGAATAAGAGAATAGTTGAAATTTGTGAGATGAAGAGTCCTTTACTGGCATCAAGGTACCCCCCCCCCCTTCCTGAAGGATGGAACAAAAGAAGTTAAAATCTGAATAGCTGTGTTAGGGTGATTGTCATCAAGAAAGGTTTGCACTTTAAGCCACATTGCACACATTTCCTTAATCTTTGAAGTAGGCAACGTCTTCAATTTCTCTGTCCCCTCCTCCGAAGCAGTTTCCTCAAGTGTGGCCTCTTGCTGTTGAAGATGATCTATCAGCTCATCAATGGTTAGTTCTTCACTGTCCTCCTCCACCAACTCTTCCACATCCTCCCCACTAACCTCCAACCCCAAGGACTTCCCCAATGCCACAATGGATTCATCAACTGGCATAGGATTCTCAGGTTAGTCTCAAATCCTTCAAAATCCCTTTTGTCTACACATTCTGGCCACAGTTTCTTCCAAGTAGAGTTCAAGGTCCTCTTAGTCACTCCCTCCCAAGCCGTATCTATAAGGTTTATACATTTGAGGATATTAAAGTGATCCTTCAAAACTCTTTTAGAGTCAGTTGAGTTTCTGTGGTCACTATAAAGCACTTTTGAAACATAGCTTTTGTGTACAGTTTCTTGAAGTTGGAAATGACCTGCTGGTCCATGGGCTGCAGGAGAGGAGTGGTATTAGGAGGCAAAAACTTGACCTTAATGAAACTCATGTCCCCAGAAAGTCGCTCTGCCAAGTCTGTAGGATGACCAGGGGCATTGTCTAATACCAGGAGGCACTTAAGGTCTAATTTCTTTTCAGTTAGGTAATTTTTCAAAGTGGGGGCAAATGCTTGGTGTAACCAGTCATAGAAAAAGTCCCTAGTGACCCATGCCTTACTGTTTGCCCTCCACAGCACACACAAATTAGCCTTGAGGACATTGCTTTCCTGAACACTCTGGGAGTTTCAGAGTGATACACCTTTAAATAAAGGCTTCACTTTGCAATCACCACTAGCATTGGCACACATGAGAAGAGTAAGCCTGTCTTTCATAGGCTTATGTCTTGGGAGTGCCTTTTCCTCCTGAGTAATGTAGGTCCTGTCTGGCATTTTCTTCCAAAACAGGCCTGTTTCGTCGCAATTAAACACTTGTTCAGGTTTCAAGTCTTCACTGTCTATGTAATCCTTGAATTCCTTCACATATTTTTCAGCTGCTTTATGGTCTGAAGCCTAATCACACGATGTATGCCACTACGATTCTTAAATCTTTCAAACCAACCTTTGCTGGCCTTAAATTCACTCACATCACCACTAGTTGCAGGCAATTTCTTTACCAAATCGTCATGCAACTTCCTAGCCTTTTCACAAATGATCGCTTGAGAGATGCTATCTCCTGCTATCTGTTTTTCATTTATCCACACCAATAACAGTCTTTAGGAAAGGTAGGGGGTGTGAGGACCAGGTGTTTACAGTGAAACATATAAGTGAACAGTGTTTAGATAAGGCTAAAGAGGTCTTTGTGGCATTTATGGATTTGGAAAAGGTGTATGACAGGGTGGATAGGGGGGCAATGTGGCAGATGTTGCAGGTGTATGGTGTAGGAGGTAGGTTACTGAAAGCAGTGAAGAGTTTTTACGAGGATAGTGAGGCTCAAGTTAGAGTATGTAGGAAAGAGGGAAATTATTTCCCAGTAAAAGTAGGCCTTACATAAGGATGTGTGATGTCACCGTGGTTGTTTAATATATTTATAGATGGGGCTGTAAGAGAAGTAAATGCGAGGGTCTTGGCAAGAGGCATGGAGTTAAAAGATAAAGAATCACACATAAAGTGGGAGTTGTCACAGTTTCTCTTTGCTAATGACACTGTGCTCTTGGGAGATTCTGAAGAGAAGTTGCAGAGATTGGTGGATGAATTTGGTAGGGTGTGCAAAAGAAGAAAATTAAAAGTGAATACAGGAAAGAGTAAGGTTATGAGGATAACAAAAAGATTAGGTGATGAAAGATTGGATATCAGATTGGAGGGAGAGAGTATGGAGGAGGTGAATGTATTCAGATATTTGGGAGTGGACATGTCAGCGGATGGGTCTATGAAAGATGAGGTGAATCATAGAATTGATGAGGGGAAAAGGGTGAGTGGTGCACTTAGGAGTCTGTGGAGACAAAGAACTTTGTCCTTGGAGGCAAAGAGGGGAATGTATGAGAGTATAGTTTTACCAACGCTCTTATATGGGTGTGAAGCATGGGTGATGAATGTTGCAGCGAGGAGAAGGCTGGAGGCAGTGGAGATGTCATGTCTGAGGGCAATGTGTGGTGTGAATATAATGCAGAGAATTCGTAGTTTGGAAGTTAGGAGGAGGTGCGGGATTACCAAAACTGTTGTCCAGAGGGCTGAGGAAGGGTTGTTGAGGTGGTTCGGACATGTAGAGAGAATGGAGTGAAACAGAGTGACTTCAAGAGTGTATCAGTCTGTAGTGGAAGGAAGGCGGGGGTAGGGGTCGGCCTAAGAAAGGTTGGAGGGAGGGGGTAAAGGAGGCTTTGTGTGCGAGGGGTTTGGACTTCCCGCAGGCATGCGTGAGCGTGTTTGATAGGAGTGAATGGAGACAAATGGTTTTTAATACTTGACATGCTGTTGGAGTGTGAGCAAAGTAACATTTATGAAGGGGTTCAGGGAAACCGGCAGGCCGGACTTGAGTCCTGGAGATGGGAAATACAGTGCCTGCACTCTGAAGGAGGGGTGTTAATGTTGCAGTTTAAAAACTGTAGTGTAAAGCACCCTTCTGGCAAGACAGTAATGGAGTGAATGATGGTGAAAGTTTTTCTTTTTCGGGCCACCCTGCCTTGGTGGGAATCGACCAGTGTGATAATAATAATAATAAATAACAGTCTCTCAACATTTTCTAATACTTGCGGTCGCTGTTTCGTAATCACAGTTGCACCTTTTGCAAGAACAGCTTCCTTGATTGCCGTTTTCCTGGTCACTATAGTAGAGATGGTTGATTGGGGTTTTATTATACAACCTAACCAGCTCCGACACACGCACTCCACTTTCGTACTTTGCAATTATCTCTTTCTTCATTTCATAAGTCATTAGCGCCTTTTTTCTCGAAGGGTTGGCACTAGAAGCTTTCTTGGGGCCCATGGTGACTTATTTTGCAGAAACAAGCACCAAACACAGTGATAGTATGGATAATATGGAATGTACCGAATGTATCCTTAGATGCGCGCACACTGGCTGGCTTGTAAACACTGGCACACACGGGGCAGTTCAGGCCACACGTGGACACGTCTCGTACGAATCATATCGAATACCGGGTTGTCAATCGAATACCGAGGCAAATTTTTTGCGATATAATGCATCAAATACCGGATTTATCGAATACCGATGCCATCGAATACCGGGGGTCCACTGTATTGCATTTCAATTAATTTAAATGAGGAAAATTGACCAAGCATACGAACAAATCAGGATATGAACAGGTCCGCGGAACGGATTAAATTTGTAAGCCGAGGTTCCACTGTACATGGTTTCCAGAGCAGCTCGAATACAGCCTCTCCTCACTTAGCGATGTACTCGTTTACTGATGACTCGGACCTACGATGGGCTCTCTGACCAGTATTTATACCTAAATAATGTATATTAGAGCTGATTTCCTCTTATTTTGTTTATTTCAATATACAGTACACTACTGTATAAATATTTAAAAATATACCAGAAATGTTATAAATGGTGCAGAGGTGACATTAAAACAATATCAAAGATGGTTGACATACTCATTACCATTATACGTAGTATGCTCCTCACTTAGCGACAAATTCATTTAATGACGTGGTCTCAGGAATGGAACTCCATCATTAAGTGAGGAGAGGCTGTATTTTTATAAAGAAACACTTTGATTGCATTCCTATGTGGCTCTGCAGATTTAAGAAATACCATGGTATTTATCAGGTAAAATCAGCCAGCAAGAAACCATCTGCAGATGTTTCAGATAAATATAATTTTTTTTTTATTAAACGCATCGGCCCTCTCCCACCAAGGTAGGGTGGCCCGAAAAAGAAAAACTTTCATCATCATTCACTCCATCACTATCTTGCCAGAGGTGTGCTTACACTACAGTTATATAACTGTAACATTAACACCCCTCCTTCAGAGTGCAGGCACTGTACTTCCCATCTCCAGGACTCAAGTCCGGCCTGCCAGTTTCCCTGAATCCCTTCATAAATCTTACCTTGCTTAAACTCCAACAGCATGTCAAGTCCTAAAAACCATGTGTCTCCATTCACTCCTGTCTATCATGCTCACACCTGCTTACTGGAAGTCCAAGCCCCTCGCACACAATACTTCCTTTACTCCCTCCCTCCAACCTTTCCTAGGCCGACCCCTACCCCGCCTTCCCTCCACTACAGATTTATACACTCTTGAAGTCATTCTGTTTTGTTCCATTCTCTCTACATGTCCAAACCACCTCAATGACCCCACCTCCTGAGCAAATATACTCACAAGACAGGATTATTTTGGCAGAGATTGTAAGACATTCTCATATTTGTAGCAGTGAAAAAACAATGGCTAGTATGAGACTCAAAGGAAATATTAATGTATTTTAGCCTGTGCTGCTGCAGGCAGTGCAAATAAACTTAAGTTCTTTGTGCTTATCAACAAGCATTTAAATGGCATAAAAATGTCTAGTTTTTTAGAAAGCAAAGGTGGGTATGAATTATTACATGAAGCACAGTGGACCATCATAATTCACACAGGGTTACGTTCCTGAAAACTGCGCTACTAATGGTATCTGTGACTCATAGACAGAAAACCACATGAGAAAAAATCCTTGAATGTAAGGGATGTGTGTTGTCTGGATTCATTCTAATAGAAAATTTTTGTTGGGATATGATTGGTTTTAGATGATTTACTGTTGTTGATCCCCATGCACAAATACCATAGGTGATACAAGGGTAGATAAAACAGTACTGCACAGTAAGTGGTGTTGGTTGTGGTACATTCTAGTGTATTATGGAAAGAAAGCCCACTGTTTTGTAAACTTTCTTAGGTATGTGCTGGATGTGTTTGTTAACCCTTTCAGGTCCAGAAGCCAAATTTCAAAGTATGCACCAGGGTCCAAGAATTTTCAAAAAATAATTTTGTTATTTTTTCTTACGAAATGGTAGAATTTTTTTTCTGAAGGTAATAAAACAAAAAGTACAAAATTTGATGGAAAATTGATGAAATTATGCTCTCGTGAATTTTGATGTGTCAGCGATATTTATGCATCGGCGATTTTGCCAACTTTGACTCCCATTTTAGGCCAATTACATTATTCCAGTCGACCAAATTCTTAGCTATTTCAATAGTATTACTTCTATTCTATCAATTGAGCACAAATCGCCAAGTCAACTGTTTCAGCTACAAAATAAAGTGATCAGAAATTGGTAATTTGGCCAATTTAGTGCAAAGTTCAAACTATTCCAATTTCAAAATAGGGTCCAGAATAGACAGTGCAGGAATTCCTGGCACTAAACTAACATATCCTCTGTTAATTAGTTATGTTTGAGGCTTTACAAATGAATTCCATTTTTATTTTTTATTCACATAATGAATTTTTGTTCAAACCAAAAAATAGAAGATTTACTGGTATGCAATATTGTAATAATTGTGTAAATAATATCACCACATTTGTGAACATATATTAGACCCACCAGCTGGTGTGTATTAGACGTGTGAGGTCATTTGTTTACTCGAACATTGGCAAAAATTTAACGTTTCCGCTACTTTGAGCTCAGTTTCAAGCCATTTCCATTATTAAAACCAATCAAAAATCATCTCTATTTCTGTAATATATCTTCCTTTCTATCAAATTAGACCAAGAAATCACAAATACAAGTAGACTGGACCCTCGACCAACGATGGCATCGTCTAACGTTTAATCCGACTAGCGATGATACATTTTAATGCAAAAATTTTGCCTTGACTAGTGCTAAAAAACTCGACCAATGCGATTTGTTCCGTTCGAGACGCGTCCATTTGTGGCCTGAGCGTGCCAGTGTTTACAAGCCAGCCAGCCACTGCGGTCCCATCCAAAATACAATCGGAGCATTTCTTTATTATCACAGCGTTTTTAGTGATTGCACCTGCAAAATAAGTCACCATGGTCCCCAAGAAAGCTTCTAGTGCCAACCCTACAGCAAAAAGGGTGAGAATTACTATGGATATGAAGAAAGAGATCATTGCTAAGTATGAAAGTGGAGTGCGTGTCTCCGAGCTGACCAGGTTGTACACAAAACCCCAATCAACCATCGCTACTATTGTGGCCAAGGAAAAGGCAATCAAGGAAGCTGTTTTTGCCAGAGGTGCAACTATGTTTTCGAAACTGAGACCGCAAGTGATAGAAGATGTTGAGAGACTGTTATTGGTGTGGATAAATGAAAAACAGATAGCAGGAGATAGCATCTCTCAAGTGATCATATGTGAAAAGGCTAGGAAGTTGCATGACGATTTAATTAGAAAAATGCCTGCAACTAGTGGTGATGTGAGTGAATTTAAGGCCAGCAAAGGTTGGTTTGAGAGATTTAAGAATCGTAGTGGCATACATAGTGTGATAACCTTTTTTGATGAAAATCGCCCTGACACAGCTACTGCAAGCCGTGTTGGCAACCTGTACACTGACAATGTTGTGAAACACTTTCGGAATGTCATAAAGGAACGGGAGGTACAGGCCTCAATGGACAGATATGTTGTGCGATAGAGGTCCAGTGGCTCTCAAGCTGGTCCTAGTGGCATTAAAAGAAGAAGGGAAGTAACCCTGGAAAAGGACTTGACACCTCAAGTCCTAATGGAAGGGGATTCCCCTTCTAAACACTTAACACCATCCACACACTCCCCTCCTCCCATCCCATCAATCATCACCCGATCTTCAATAAAGGCAAGTGTCATGTAATTGTACATGTCTTCTTGAGTTTGTGTGTATTAAAATTATTTCATGTGGTAAAATTTTTTTTTTTTTCAATACTTTGGGGTGTCAGAAACAGATTAATTTGATTTCCATTATTCCTTATGGGGAAAATTAACTCGACTAACGATAATTTCGACTAACAGTGAGCTCTCAGGAATGAATTAATATCGTTGGTCGAGGGTCCACTGTATAAAAATCATACGAAAAACACTGCAAAGTTGCTGTTTTATTCGAAAATTACGGTCTGTTCTTTTTTATCTCGTTACACACTGTGTGCTGCAGGATTTGCTTTATGTGGTGCACACCTACCACATAGATATATTCTCTCATATCTAGGCCCAAATTTACCGCTCACAGCTTATCAGAGCGAGCTGAGCTCATAGCGTAGATCTACGGTTTGAACCCTCAATGTAAAGTCATAGATCTACGGCACAGACCCTGAAAGGGTTAAATTAGGTTTACTGTCAAAGTGAGCAGCAAAAAATTTCCCCTCATCTTATCTTTCAATGTGTGTATCTTTCTTTAGGTGAATATATTTTTAGCTTTATTCATTATTGAGTGTTAATTTATTTGTTGCCATGCAAGATGATGCCTATTTCAGCTTTTACTATGTTGATTTCAACTGGATCTAGATTGGAGATGAAGTTTGTATATTTATATTCTGGCATTTTTTTTTTTCAGGTTGGTTATAAGAAATGGCATGTGTTCGAGCCTGGTCATCCACTTCATGATGATCCTGTAGCCAGCTAAAGTTTTGCAGTTTACATTTATGTACGTATATTAATCACTTAATTTGTTTAGAAGAATTTATAAAATGTACAAATACACACTCTTAATTTGCTAATATTGTTTATATTTATCACTGGTTTGATAGTGAATTATTTTTTAAAATATTTACAATTGCAAAATAATGGAAAATTAAAAAGAAATTATTTTCATGGGGAAGCACCTGGGAAATGGGAGGTAATCAAGTCTTATCCAAGGAATAAGAGAATAGTTGAAATTTGTGAGATGAAGAGTCCTTTACTGGCATCAAGGTACCCCTCCCCCCTTCCTGAAGGATGGAACAAAAGAAGTTAAAATCTGAACAGTTAGAAAAATTAATTAAAATGTTTTCGAGTGAAGTTAATGAGAATATTAGTGAGGATGCTTATTTTTATAATCAGAGGTTAGTGCTGAACTTGATCTAAGGGAAGGATAATTCCAGTTTCTTGGATCAAGAGCCTCTTGCTGATAACAAGGTACCTCATTTGAGGGGGAACAGTATTGTGATAGTCACTAAATTGAAATTTTTTGGCAAGATTCAACAATGATGAGTACACATGGTGTTATTAATATGATAGCAATAAATAAAACAATCTGATGTTAATTTTTTAACTCCTCTGGCAAATGTATTCCACATTTTTGGTCCTTTAATTTTCACGAGTTTCTGTAGATTGTTATATTAGAGAAAAGTGCTAAACTAACAGGGGTTATATAGTGCCTGGTGTGGAGAAAATCCTTCAGTAAAGGGGTATCTCTCAGCCTTTCAGCCCTCTGAGAGGGCTTAGCCCCCCCTTGGAAAAGGGCTAGTGGATTCTTCCACTTCCTCCCAAAACAGTTTGTACAGGTCAGCCATCACAAATCTGGCAATCAGACATCCGGTTCCATCAGTTATTCAGCACTAATTTCAAATTTCCAGGGTCGCCATACCAACCTGTTGGTACTGTTTGGTGGTGCTACTTGCTGCATAAGTCATTCCAATTTCTTTTTCTCCATTTATTGTTATAACCTGCTTACTTTTAGCCCTATTTGTTGGAACCATGGCTAAAAGAACTGCTTCTTGTTGTGTAAAGCACATACACAGTACATTGTCCATTAAAGATAAGGTGGCTTTGAAGCCACTGTCGGTTGCCATGAGCTCAGTCTTGTGATGCAGGGGAATATGCTTTATTATTACGCTAATACAGGTTGACCATCACAGATCCGGCATCATTGGGACCTGTAATGTGCCGGATTACTGAGTTTGCTGGATTACAGAGTGGTTAGGTTAAAATACACTTAATAAAATTAACCAACTTGACTTACACAAGGAAGTTCATTGAACATCAGCAAAAATCGAACATTTCCGCTAATTTGATTTCAATTTCAAGATACTTTTCGTCATCAAACCTATCAAAATCATATCTATTTCTGTAATATATCTTCCATTTTCCTAGGTAGACAGCAACCGCCCAGGGAGGTACTACCGTCCTGCCAAGTGAGTGTAAAACGAAAGCCTGTAATTGTTTTACATGATGGTAGGATTGCTGGTGTCCTTTTTTCTGTCTCATAAACATGCAAGATTTCAGGTATGTCTTGCTACTTCTACCCACACTTAGGTCACACTACACATACATGTACAAGCATATATATACATACACCCCTCTGGGTTTTCTTCTATTTTCTTTCTAGTTCTTGTTCTTGTTTACTTCCTCTCATCTCCATGGGGAAGTGGAACAAAATTCTTCCTCCATAAGCCATGCGTGTTGTAAGAGGCGACTAAAATGCCGTGAGCAAGGGGCGAGTAACCCCTTCTCCCGTATAAATTACTAAATTTAAAAAGAGAAACTTTCGTTTTTCTTTTTGGGCCACCCTGCCTTTGTGGGATATGGCCAGTTTGTTGAAAAAAAAAAAATCTTCCATTCTATCAAACGAGACCAAAAAAAAAGAATACAGCCATTAAAACCATACAAAAATATACCGCAAAGAGGCGGCTAATGGCTTATTTATCGTCTGATTTTTTTCAATTTTGGTGTACGTTAAGAAGCATCTTTCCATCATACATTGCCCAAGTTTCAATAAGATAGTCAACAAACAACTGAGAAAAAAAAAAATATTTACCAAAATTCATATATGGCAAGCCCAAGCCAGGTACTGGAAATAAGTCACTTTGACTTTTTTGAGTTATCCTCGGTTCTTTATACTATACATATGCTGCTATGTATGATAATCTGTGTAACTGTATTTGTGTATACCTCAATAAACTTAACTCTGTTGTGTCGACTGAGTACAAGAAACCGCCCATTCACCTATATCAACTATCCAATAAAGTGGTCAGAAATTGGCAATTTGGCCAATTTCACACACATTATAACAGATGCCAATTTCAAAATAGGGTCCAGAATAAACAAGGCAGACATTCCTGGCACTAAAATAACATTTTCTCTGTTCATTAGTCATGGCTTCAAGCCTCTCTTATACAGTGGACCATCACCTAACGAACACATTGCATAACGTTAAATCCGCCTAGCGATACATTCTAACGCAAAAATTTTGCCTCGGCTAGCGCTAAAAAAAACTCGCTCAACGCGATTCGTTCGAGACGCGTCCATGTGCAGCCTGAGCCCGCCTCACTTGTTCCATGGGTGTCAGTATTTACAAGCCAGCCACCGCAGTCGCTTCCAAACATGCAATCGGAACATTTCATATTATCACAGCCTTTTTAGTGATTGCACCTGCAATATAAGTCACCATAGGCCCCAAGAAAGCTTCTAGTGCCAACCCTACAGCAAAAAGAGTGAGAATTACTATGGATATGAAGAAAGAGATCATTGCTAAGTATGAAAGTGGAGTGCGTGTCTCCGAGATGGCCAGGTTGTACACAAAACCCCAATCAACCATCGCTACTATTGTGGCCAAGAAAACTGCAATCAAGGAAGCTGTTCTTGCCAAAGGTGCAACTTTGTTTTCGAAACAGAGATCACAAGTGATAGATGATGTTGAGAGACTGTTATTGGCGTGGATAAACGAAAAACAGATAGGAGATAGCATCTCTCAAGCGATCATATGTGAAAAGGCTAGGAAGTTGCATGACGATTTAATTAGAAAAATGCCTGCAACTAGTGATGATGTGAGTGAATTTAAGGCCAGCAAAGGTTGGTTTGAGAGATTTAAGAAGCGTAGTGGCATACATAGTGTGATCAGGCATGGTGAGGCTGCCAGTTCGGACCACAAAGCGGCTGAAAAATATGTGTAGGAATTCAAGGAGTACATAGACAGTGAAGGACTGAAACCTGAACAAGTGTTTAATTGTGACAAAACAGGCCTGTTTTTGAAGAAAATGCCAGAGAGGACCCACATTACTCAGGAGGAAAAGGCACTCCCAGGACATAAGCCTATGAAAGACAGGCTTACTCTGTTGATGTGTGCCAATGCTAGTGGTGATTGCAAAGTGAAGCCTTTATTGGTGTATCACTCTGAAACTCCCAGAGTGTTTAGGAAAAACAATGTCCTCAAGGCTAATTTGTGTGTGCTGTGGAGGGCAAACAGTAAGGCATGGGTCATTAGGGACTTTTTCTATGACTGGTTACACCATGCATTTGCCCCCGCTGTGAAAAATTACCTAATCGAAAAGAAATTAGACCTTAAGTGCCTCCTGGTATTAGACAGTGCTCCTGGTCATCCTTCAGACGTGGCAGAGTGACTTTCTGCGGAAATGAGCTTCATTAAGGCCAAGTTTTTGCCTCCTAATACCACTCCTCTCCTGCAGCCCATGGACCAGCAGGTCATTTCCAACTTCAAGAAACTGTACACAAAAGCTATGTTTGAAAGGTGCTTTGTAGTGACCTCAGAAACTCATTTGACTCTAAGAGAGTTTTGGAGAGATCACTTTAGCATCCTCAATTGTGTAAACATTATAGGTAAGGCTTGGGAGGAAGTGACTAAGAAGACCTTGAACTCTGCTTGGAAGAAACTGTGGCCAGAATGTGTAGACAAAAGGGATTTTGAAGGGTTTGAGGCTAACCCTGGGAATCCTATGCCAGTTGAGGAATCCATTGTGGCATTGGGGAAGTCCTTGGGGTTGGAGGTTAGTGGGGAGGATGTAGAAGAGTTGGTGGAGGAGGACAATGAAGAACTAAGCACTGATGAGCTGCTAGATCATCATCAACAGCAAGAGGCCACACCTGAGGAAACTGCTTCGGAGGAGGGGATGGAGAAATTGAGGAAGTTGCCTGCTTCAAAGATTAAGGAAATGTGTGCAGTGTGGCTTAAAGTGCAAACCTTTTTTGATGAAAATCACCCTCACACAGCTATTGCAAGCCGTGCTGGTGACTATTACACTGACAATGTTGTGAAACACTAGGAATGTCATAAAGGAACAGGAGGTACAGGCCTCTATGGACAGATATGTTGTGGGACAGAGGTCCAGTGACTCTCAAGCTGGTCCTAGTGGCATTAAAAGAAGAAGGGAAGTAACCCCGGAAAAGGACTTGACACCTCAAGTCCTAATGGAAGGGGATTCCCCTTCTAAACACTAACACCTCTTCCCTCCTCCCATCCCATCAATCATCACCAGATCTTCAATAAAGGTAAGTGTCATGTAACTGTGCATGTCTTCTTCAGTTTGTGTGTATTAAAATTAATATTTCATGTGGTAAAAATTTTTTTGGGTTCATACTTTGGGGAATCAGGAACGGATTAATTTGATTTCCATTATTTCTTATGGGGAAAATTAATTCGCCTAACGATAATTTCGCCTAACGTTGAGCTTTCAGGAAAGGATTAATAGCATTAGGCGAGGGTCCACTGTATTACTCTTGCTTACCATTTGGAATTTTTATTCACACAAAAAATAGAAGATTTACTGTTATGCAGACTATTGCATTTTTGTAATAATTGTATAAATAATGTCATCACATTTGTGACTGTGTATTGGAATTTGGACTGGCAGGCGAACACATATTAGACGGTGATTTTTTTTTTTTTTTTTTTTTTTTTTTTTTTTTTTTTTTTTTTTCAACAAGTCGGTCGTCTCCCACCGAGGCAGGGTGACCCCAAAAAAAAAGAAAGAAAATCCCCAAAAAGAAAATACTTTCATCATCA